GTGGGTGGGTGTGGCAGGTGGGTGGGTGTGCGGGGTGAGGGGGGGGGAGAATGCGGCGTAAGGGTTGGGGTTGGGGGGGAAAAGACGAACCCCGAGCGAGTGAAGCTGCTGCCAAGGAAAGACTGCTGCAGTGCGGCCGATGTACAGGACGATAGCAGAACTGACCAGCCGGCGGTTGTGAAGCAGCAGTCCTCGGGATGGGGGGAAAGGGGAATTGGGGACCGGAGGGTGCACTGTCCATATCCCTGAATGTGCCTTGCGTCCTGACCGTCCCCATGCCGTACCGTCGTTGCGTGTGTCCTGTTTTGGATCCTGAATCCGGATTCACGTGAACCTGGCTGGATACAAACCAGGCTGGACTTGGATTTGCTTGAGGCGGCTGAAGCCGCGGCGCTGCGGCGACAGCTGGTACGGCTGCTGGTACGGCGGGCGCAAGCTAGGGTGACGCTGGCGGGGCGAGTTGGCCCCGCCGCCGCCGCCGCCGCCGCATCTGCCGCCGCCAGCAGCAACAACAGCAGCGGAGCCGCGGGTGATCATCTTGCGGCGGCGCTCCGAGACTACGAAGAAGCGATGCGGTGAGTCAGTGCCTCATGCGCATTTATTCGTGCACTATATGACATTGGCCAAGCTGTACGGCAGAGCGCTGTGTACGGCAGACCTGTCCAGGGCTTCGTGTGTCGGACCATCACGGAGCTTGTCTGTCTGGGGCACAAGCTGAGGCCGCCCGCGCCGCGCACATGTAGTGCCGCTGGGCTAGCGATGTCTGAGCTTATGGTGGTGGTGATGGTGATGGTGGTGGTGGTGATGGTGATGGTGATGGTGATGGTGATGGTGATGGTGATGGTGATGGTGATGGTGATGGTGGTGGTTTCCTCCTCCCTTCCCCTTCCCCACCCCCACCCCCACCCCCACCCCCACCCCCACCCCCACCCCCACCCCCACCCCCCCACCCCGCAGTCTGTCCCCTGGCGAGCCCACCCTGGAGTCGGACTACCAGGAGCTGGCGGCCGCCCTCAGACCCGCTGACGCCGCGGCGCTGAGGCAGCGTGGGGATGCGAGGTTCAGGTGGGGCGGGCCTGTTATAGATGAGGTAGGAGGTAGTATAGAGGCAGTGGGATTTTCCCCGCCATAAAGGATTTATTAAACCTATTTGCAGCTTTTACCGGCATTTGGTTATAGGGTTTTGTTTTTGAGGCAAGAATGCACATGGACTTAGGATACCATGGTAATACCACCACCACCACCGTTGACTACCGTTTATCGCAACCGAATTCGTTGCAGTCGTTGCAACGGTTTTACCTGCACCTCGTTTTCCGTTGCTTGCTGACGCGTGTGTGTGTGTGTGTGTGCCTCCCTAGCGGGGTGGGACCGAAGTGGGGTGGGGTCACTGTCGCTCTCCCCCGTGTCGCTCTCTCCCTGTCGGCGTTTCAGGTCGGGTGATTTCGAGGGTGCAGCGGAGGCGTTTGGCGCTGTGTTGGGGCTACCCAGGAGCCGAGTTGCGGGTGAGTGAGTACGTGCTGACGTGCGCGTGGGTGCGTATGTGAATGTGTGCGGGTGAGTTTTTACTGGCCTGAGTTCGCGTTTGTGTGTGTGTGGTCGGGGGGGGGAGTGGGAGGTAACCCCCCTTGGCCGTTGATAACCATTACGGTTGCTGCTGACGAGGCGTCTTAGAATTTTATTTCTGTTTAAGATGGGTTTTAGGTAGATAATTTTAAAGGTGGGAAAAGTGTTTTAAAAGGGTGTTGATGTTGATTGACGGTGAGGGGTGGGGCTCGCATACTGGTCGGGGGTCGGGTGTCACCTTGAGGACGTATCCAACCCTCACAAACAGCAAGGTTCGGTCAATGTACGGCACGTTTGAAACCCTCCTTTATGGGTGAAACCGGATAAACCCCTAGGGGGGGTCAGGGAGAGCAAGGTCTGTTTGTTTTAAGGGGGTTGAGGGATGGAGAGGATTGCGCGGTCGAGAAGGATGAGGAGGGAGGTAAGGCTTGCCCGGGGCCAGGGCTTCGGTAGCGCTGTCTTTGATATGCTCTAGGTCGCCGCGACTCCCATTCACAGCTGCACCTGATGGCTTAGGGGAGTTCATCCAAAGCCAAGTGCCGGAAAGTCATTCCCTATTCCCTCGCGCGCCCAACCTAAAACCCTAATACCCCACACGCATACATGGCCTCACACCGTTTTGCACGCGCCCGACGAACTCTAAAAACACCTTTTCAAGAGCCGGAGCGCCTTGCGGCCTTCTCCAATCGGGCGGCTTGCAACCTGGTTCTGGAGCGCTACGGCGCCGCAGTAGCGGACTGCGACGCAGGACTGGCGTTGCTACTGCCGCCGCAGCTGTCGACGTCGGGTTCCGGAGGTGGTG